AAGATAAACACAAACCCAAGCCAGGAACTAAGGAGAAACTGACAATGATATTTCCTAGAAAATAGTGTGCATTTCAGGAAGGCAAGAAAACATTACTGCTCAAGATCAGCACTCAGCAAGGAGCATGGCTGCATTAGACTCTCAAACAACTCTCTTAGGAAATAAAATGGGAAATACTGAACAGTGGCAAAACATTTTGGGCATTCATTCCAAACAGCTTGCATCCAGAAGACCACATTAGCTTTGTTCTTGTAAATGATTTCTTTCACAATAGTTTACTAGTCACTATTTAATGTGCCAATTTTAATTTATAAAACCACAAACACAGCTGAAATACATTTGGGGAAGAAAAATTCTAATGGAAATTATCCTAAATGAGGTGTCAAAATTCTGAACAGCTAAATTGCTAATCTGTAGTGATGCAGTGTCAAGTGAACAGAGAACTACTTGTAAACATATCTAGAATTAAGAGCTGAAGATCGCTTTCAATAATATCTAGTACAGGGGTAGGCAACCTTTTTGAGCCAAGGGCCGGGTTGCTGTCCCTCAGACAATTGGGGGGCCGAAGCACCAAAATTAAATAAATAAATAAATAAAAATTAAAAAATTAAAAATAAAAAAATGCATGCACACTCTCTCAGCCCCAGAAAAGCCATGGCAAAACCTCTGTGGATATTTTGCCAAGAAAACCACAAGAACAAGTAATAACAACAATAATTAATATCATCATGGCAGGTGGCAGCAGTGGCGGCAGGACCAGCCTGGGGCCAGTCCAAAGGCCTCGGGGGCCGCATCTGGCCCCCGGGCCTTAGGTTGCCTACCCCTGATCTAGTATTTGCCAACTAGCACAGAAAGAAAATCTGTGAAAAGGATAAAGAGAGAGGAAAATAAGACCAATTGTCTCTATCATCATCTCCACCTTATATTTCTAGTATTGACTGGTATACAGTAATGTTTCCACTTTTCTCATGAAAACCTTTCTGTCTCATGTTACATCAATGAATTGAGGCTATCCTACTTTGGATGTATGAGATTACATGACTCAGTGGAAAAGATGATAATGCTGAACAGTGGAAAAGATGATAATGCTGAAGGTCGTAGGAAAGAAGAAGAAGAGTGCGATACAGGTGAATTGAGTCTCCAAGACTTCAGTACAGCTTGATAACGCATACAAAGGCAGAAGATAATATACCATCTGTTGAGTAAGAATTGGGGGTAGAAATAAAACACTGAACTATGTTAATATGTTGTTGTTGTATGTAAGCCTTCAACTTATGGTGACCCTAAGGCAAAACTATAATGAGGTTTCCTTGGCACAATTTGTTCAGAAGAGGCTTGCCACTGCTTTCCCCTGAAGCTGAGAGCATGTGACTTGGCCAAGACCACCAAGTGGGTTTCCATGGCTGAGTTGGAAACTGAACCCTGGTCTCTAGAGTCATAGTCCAACACTCAAACCATTGCACCATGTTGGCTTTCACTATGTAAGTACATAATTATATTTAAGGTGGAGAGTAACAGTAACAATGTTTAATGTTGGTATTGTTACTGCTGCCTTCTGTTATTTCCTAATACCAATCATGAGCCCTTATGATGTGAAGATATGTCTTTGATGATATTAATTCACCTTGAACTAGAGCAGGGGTAAGACTCATGTGGCCATCCAGATGTTGCTGCGCATTCCCAGCATTCTTACCACTGCCTATGCTGACTAGGACTGACTATGGTAACTAGGGTTGCATCTGGGATTTGGAGTGTTTCATTATTCCTACCTCTTAAAACTTGAGAATATGGTAGTCAGACTGTAAAGCCACTCAGCAATTTGTGGCACTCTAGATGCTTTCGCCTTCAGTTTTAACCAGTCCATGACAACATAGCCTATGGTGGAGGATTATGGCAGTTGCAGTCTCAGAAAACCTGTAAAGCCACAATTGTTGGAAAGAAAGAAAGTAAGTTTGGAAACCTTTTTCAACCCAAGGGCTGACTTCAATTTTATGTTAGTTCACAGGTGATTGGTAAATGCCATTAGTTTGCTGGGACAAAAAATAAATAAATAATAAATAATAAAATCACTATACTTCAATTTTAACATATTTAATCAGGAACTAATGCATTCTGATCTTTTAGAATGGGGGGGAAAGCCATACCAAATGTTGGTGTTGTAAGTAAGGGTGACTGACGATTTGAAAATCCCCAGAAAGTATAAGGGCCACATATGGCCCCAGGGCCTGGTTACCAATCCATGTTCTAAATATAACAGCTAGAATAGCAACTGCTGCTCCAAAACAAGGACATGAACCAATGAATTCAAATTGCAAGAAAAGAGATTCCACCTAAACATTAGGAAGAATTTGCTGATAATAGTAGCAATGGGTAGTTTGATACCAGAATGAGTTGCTTCTGAGGGTGGTGGATTCCCCTTTTCTGGAGGACTTTAAGCAGAAGTTGGATGGCCATCTTTCAGGTGGCCTTTATTTTATAGGTTCTTTAGCTGTCTATTCCTATATGGCGGGGGGGTTGGATTAGATGGCCTTAACCAGGGGTAGGCAACCTTTTTGAGCCGGGGGCCCGGTTGCTGCCCCTCAGACAATTGGGGGGCCGAAGCACCAAAAATAAATAAATAAATAAATATAAAAATAATTTTTATTTTTTTAAAAAAAATATTTTAAAAATATGCATGCACACTCTCTCAGCCCCAGAAAAGCCATGGCAAAACCCCTGTGGAGATTTTGCCAAGAAAACCCCAAGAACAAATAATAACAACAATAATCAATATCATCATGGTGGGCAGCGGGTGGGGGGGGCAGCAGGACCAGCCTGGGGCCGGTCCAAAGGCCTCAGGGGGCCACATCCAGCCCCCAGGCCTTAGGTTGCCTACCCCTGGCCTTAACAGTGCCTTTGAGGTCTATGATGCAAATTGCTCAGGCCTCCAAAGAGAAATCTGTGTGATCTCACCAATGATGAATGGGACAATGCTCCAAAAGACCATGAGTCTGATTTCTTCAGGGAAAAGAAATGCCATGTTTCCTCTTGGGCTGACATTTTTGTCAACTATCATTTCATGCAGAGAAGAGAATTGGATCTTTCCTACAAGATGACCTGCACAGGAGGAGTGCCTGTTACCTATTTGCTAATTGAAGAACCCAGCCCTGGCCCATGGCACCCTTCTACACAAACGACATTAACAAGCTGACCTTCAGCAGGGATTCTCATTTTCTGTTTTTATGAAATGTCAGAGGCCAGAGTGAGGGACATTTGCTTAAGGATTTCTTACAGCAGGCTCAGCTCATCTACTGCTTTGAGGCCCTTTGCAAGCCTGATTGATGGCAAAGACCTTCAAGGGAAAGATGTTTAACATTTTAAAGAGCAGTTTTAGGAACGGATTCAATTGCACAAGGCCGGTGTGTATGGATAAAGGCAAACGCTGCTTAGTATATAGGCTAGTTTTTCATCCACAAACAGGAGGCAGAAAGGATTCCTTGGTTTTGATCAAAACATACATGGAGGTCCAAAACACACTGCAGAAATAATCCAGTCTGAGACTGCTTTAACTTCTCTGCCTCAGTGCTAGGGGATCTTGGTAATTGTAGTTTATTATGTCACTGGCTGAGAAAACAAAATGTCTCACAAAAGTACAGTTCCCAAGATTCCCTAGCACTGAGCTAGGGCAGTTAAAGTTGTCTCAAACTGGGTTATTTCTGCAGAGAGTTTTGGACCTCTGTCAAAGAACCAGGGATAAGTTCCTCAGAGGTCTACAAACCCAACATCATCCATTGATAGCAAGAATCTGGAGGTCTACACCCATATTTCTGTGTATTATCTCTGTGATGGGATTATATAAAAGTATAACTGTGATGGTATATATACTCATATAAAACAGCATGTATTTGCATGCCTGAAGCTGACTGTGTGAGCTTGCCCTGCACTGTACTGAAAGCAGTGCCTTGGAAATTTGAAAGTTCTGTTATCTGCAATCTGGAGTAACTCATTCACACATACAAGTCATTACTAATGGTTGGTGTAGTCAAGATGATGTATAATTGTGTGTCAAGTAGCTTCAAGAGTTGATCTGAGTCCCTGTCTTGGGGGAAAAGATGGGATATAAATGAAGATGATGATAAAGAGGATAAAGATGAGGATGGTTTTCTAAACTGGTCTTTCCCCTCAATTTATCAAAGCTGTCTCACTTGTTGCCACTGCCTCCTTTCTTAGAACGAGACTAATGAAATTATCGTTTGACTTTTTAAACCGGTTTACCTCTATCTGGCTTAATCTTAATTTGGGCGGCATCCTGATCTTATCAGACTTTTTTTGCCAATCAATTTGCCACCCGAATATAGTCTGGATCCATCCCTGCTTCCAGAGCTGCTTCTCATGGCCATTTTCTTAATCCAGAAAACTCCCAGATCCAAAAAGAGCCACGAGGAGCACTCCTGGAAGCAGGGACACACCCCGGCTGTATTCGGACAGCAAATTCAATGGCAAAAAATGTCTGATAAGATCAGGATGCCATCCGAATTAAGATTAAGCTGGATAGAGGTGAACCAGTTTAAAAAAACCAAGTGATAATCTCCTTCGTATGTACTTTGTGCCAAAGCAGAGATGGGGAATTTACTGGGACCATGGAACTGCACTGGATCACCCAAGCCAATAAGAGCTACAGCACTACTGGAAACCACTAAAGTTCCTTCCACTTGCACAGTTGCTGCTGAAAATTGGTTGTAATGCCACCAGGTCTCTGTGATGCCAAAAAGTGGCAGAGTGCTATCTGTATATTGGCAATACAGAATGTCTCCTTCCATCCTGGAATGTAGTCCCTTCTCCTGCACCTTTTAATATTGTTGTTGTGTGCCTTCAAGTCATTTCTGACTTATGGAGACCCTAAGATGAATCTGTCTTGGGTTTTTCATGGCAAGATTTGTTCAAAGGGGTTTTCATTTTCCTTTACCTTCCTTTGAAGGTGACAGAGTGTGACTTGCCCAAGGTCACCCAGTGTATTTCCATGGCTGAGCGAGGATTTGAACCCTAGTCTCCAGAGCCATAATCTAACACTCAAAGCACTACACCACACAGGCCCTCATATTTTTTTAACAGTGGTGCAAAATGTTGATGTTATTTTATTGGTGGCAGCAACAAATAAGAGCAGCAGAGGCTGAGGAAAGACAGCTAAGGGGGAAGGTATACAGTCTATGGGCCATACCATTCCTGTGTAAAAAACCCAAGAGTTATCAAGCTCATCCATGGAACACTGGATATTCTGTAACCTATTAGAAGTTAATGTACCAGTATTTTATTAGTCTACTTTGGGGGGAAAACACTTAAATTATCACCACCCATAACTGGCAATGTTGCAGGTGTATGTGTGTATCCAACTGGGAAAAATATAAAGTTTTTCAAGAAAATATGAAAGCATTAAGGTTTGTTTGAGAATGCCTACTCCCAACTTCATGTCATTTTACAGGAAGATTAAATGGGTGGGAACTGACAAGGACACTACAACCTCTTTTTTGGAAGGAGAATTAACCTGTTCTAATTCAGACAAAGGTAAAGTCAACGTGAACAGCATAGCAACTAACTATTCATTCTGCAAAGGTTCTTTGTTACAGTTTTTGGTCTCCAGTCAAACTCCTCCTGCCAGGTCCACTTCTCCAAAGCTGAGGACCAACTGCCTGACTTTTGCTAAAACATGCAATCCTATGTATTATCAAACCAGATATGTCACACCACATTTGCAAAGAGAAATCAGGATTCCTTAGCCAAATTTCTGTAAGCCTCACTTGGCTTCTTTCACCAACAGCTTGTGCACCCCATGTTTTTTCTTCTAATCCTCTTAAAGAGATTCCCAGCCAATATTTCAAGACTACAGTTCCAGCTATTCCCCTTTCTTGTCTGTACACTTGTGCTCTTTGTTTCACTTGTTTTAGGATTCATGACACAAAATGCGAGAGTTAAGGGAAAAGTATTTACTTTAAATCCTGCCATGAAGACCTCTAATGGGCTTTGGGCAACTACCTATATCACAGCTGGGGGAAATGTGGCCCTGCAGATGTTGATGGACTGCACCTCTGACCAGCCCTAGGAAGCATAGCCAATGGTGAAAGATAATAGGTGTTGCAATCCAGCAACATCCAGGGGGGTGCAGATAACCCATCTTTTAGTTGACCTTGGTTAAAATCCTAATTATTCAATTCTGGAATAGTACAGAAGAAGGCATAATGCAAAAAGTGCTAGATTTTTTTATTTCAGAATTTGATTCTGTGTTCTATTTATCCAAATTCCAGACAGAACTAAAAAAAGTTCTTTATTTGCTCTCCAACTCACAGTTACCATGCTAGCTGAGGACCCTGGGGACTGAGGTTGTGTTGGAAGATCTTTGCATTATCATTTCACCTCCTTAGATAGATAGGGATTCCTGCTTGGAAACATCTCCTTTCTCTCTCTCTTATTCAAACTAACCTTGTGACTTTGCTCACTCCCTCTTTGAGACTAACAGCCTTTTATCTCAAGATTCTCAACTGAGCTGTTCCCATCTTCCTGCTCTCTGAAGGATGGTGAGATTTCTTCTCTTTACCTGTACCATCACTAGTTAAATTAGGATTTAGTTTTTTTAATGTAAATATAGACTAAAGCCATAACTGCAAGCTACATTTGTTGTTTGTTGTTTTTTCAGTCAGTCTTAATTCTTTAGGGAAGCATAGTTAAGCAAAGTCATAGTTCTGCTTTCTGCTAATGAAAGCCAGAATTTAACAGGTTTAGCTTTCATATTTGTATATTTGTGTTTCCTTTAAAAAGGGATGAAGCCCTGGGAAACTTAAATTACCCCACAAGTTGAAAAAGAAACTGTTCAAAGCTTGGTTCCAAGCTGCTTATGAAAGACAAGACAATTAAGATCCAACAGTACATGATCAATCAACAAAGACATCCGAGAAATATAAGTTAAAGAGCCAGTGCTCTTGAAACTAATTGAATAATTCTAAAAAATAAAATAAAATAAATGAAAATATAAAAATAATAAAAAAGAAAAAAATGAATTGAAACAAAATTTTATGGAAAGCTTGGTGCAGGCATGTTTCCTTGAAAACCTGGTTCCTGAAAGTTGGTGACCCCTAAAAAGGTCCTCCTTCACTTTTAGAATCATAGAATCATAGGGTGGGAAGAGACCACAAGGGCCATCCAGTCCAACCCCTGTCATGCAGGAACTCCCAATCAAAGCATCCCTGACAGATGGCCATCCAGTCTCTGCTTAAAGGCTTCCAAGAAAGGAGACTCCACTACTCTCCGAGGGAGTGTGTTCCACTGTCGAACCACCCTTACTGTCAGGAAGTTCCCCCCTAATGTTGAGGTGGAATTCTCCTGGAGCTTACATCCATTGTTTCGGGTCCTAGTCTCTGGAGCAGCAGAAAACAAGCTTGTTCCCTCCTCAATAGGACATCCTTTCAAATATTTAAACACGGCTATCATATCACCTCTCAATCTTCTCTTCTCCAGGCTAAACATCCCCAGCTCCCTAAGTCGTTCCTCATAGGGCTTGGTTTCCAGACCCTTCACCATTTTAGTTGCCCTCCTTTGGACATGCTCCAGTTTCTTTTTTGAATTGTGGTGATGAGGCCTGACCAAAGCAGAATAGAGTGGCACTATTATTTCTCTTGATCTAGACACTATACTTCTACTGATGCAGCCTAAAACTGCATTGGCCTTTTTAGCTGGCCAATGGGGTTGTTTTCAACAACCCCATGGGCCAGCATGTTGACAGGCTGCATTTCAACATAGATTTAGGGATAGATTTAGGCCAGAGCCTGTTTTCTAGCGCTGAAAAGCACCAGCAAGGATTTCTTCCATTTAACCTTCCTTTCCTTCCCTGGAATTTGTTTGTTTGTTTGTTTGTCTGCAGGGGAGCTGTCTCATTTCTGACCTCTGGTGCTGATCTGCATTGTGTGCATGCAATACTACTTCCATCCTTCTGTAGTATCCTTTCTCCTGAAACTCAACAGCCACCCTAGCCCAACCTGAGAATATATTCTTTCCAAACATATGCCAGTCAACAGCTCCTGCCACTTCATTCCAATCACAGGCAGATTTTAAAAGAGCAGCAGTAACATTGTTTGGTAAACTGATTGATGGGTGAATGCCTGCTTCCTTTCCTTCTATGTCTCTCCCTCCGTAGCTTCCTCCTCCCCATTTCCTGACCTACCTGCATTATATTTGACTTCTCTTCCCTTTTCATTACACCAGAAAGGGGGGGGGGGGGAAGCTGCTATAGGGTAGGAAGAAAAATCTAGAATAGATTACACCAAAGAGAAGGAATGATTGTTTACCAGCTATTTCAGTTCTTGAGTTAATGCTGGGAAGAGTTGGGTTTATCACGAAAGTGGTACAATATTCAATTTTCAGCCGCCCACCAAAAAACAAACAACCCCCTGCATAGAATTCACACTTTGGGGGAGGACAATACCATCTCTGTGATTAACCTTTCTCTTTAATTTTTTGGGAAAGGCAGGCTGCCACTTATGGGGTCAAAAGGGACATACACTCTGCATATACTCAGAAGCGTTTCCCCATATTCCTGCTGACCAGTAGAAATAATTTTTGGCAAATATAATCTCCCCCGATGCTGTTCCAATAACCACCATCTTCCCATTGTGACTCCCACATGGGTAGAATTTTGAGCAGCACTTTTGCAATGAAGCAACTGGGCCCAGAGACAAAAGGCACTCCATTGTAATGTAGGGGGGTTGCAGACTGCCAGAAATAGTGCAAATGGAGTCCACTT